TATATATATATTATATTATATATATACATATATATATATATATATTATACATCATATATATTATATATTATAAGGATATTATTAATATTAATATTTATATTAATATTAATAATTAATAAAAATACTTATTATATTAATATTAACATTAATAATACTAATATATACTTCACGTATAATTATTGATATATCATATCATTATATAATTTTTGCGAGGAAAAATGTGACAAACACACCTGAACGGAAAGTTGTTCACCAGTGTAACAAAACATGAACATGTCCACCATCATACACATAAGTACAGTAAAGTAGGAGAACATAGCTATCGAACTGCTATTCTCCCATTCCTACAAATACCATATTATTGAAAAGAAAATATTTTTTTTCTTTTACTTTACATTAAAACTTTGGACAAAATGACGAACCTTTAATATAAAATATCCTACAATGCAGACAACCGTCGTGCTTCCCAGTAATTCTAGTACGCACACTTGTTGTAGAGTATTTTCAACCAATTGTAAAAAACTGCTGACACCGAATCAATACATTTAGGAAATAAAAAAGCAAAATTATCTGCACTCTGCAGATATATGATTAACACCGATTAACGAGTAATACTCAAAAAATCATTTACTACTAACGTCGAGTCATATTTGACGTTAGTCACGTGGTCTTAATAAAGAAATAAAACTGTAAAACTCTTACCTTCTTATTCTTATTTGATGTTCAACCATTCGTGCCAGCTTTCTGTCCACTTCTCGGTTCTCTTGCCCTTGCTTCTCGACAAGATTTCTCATTAAATTCATCAGGATCGTCAGCTGACCGCAGGCGTGCATCACGAAGATGGTCGCGAGACCGCATAAACCCGTTGTTATCGACCAAGTGAGCACCCCGGATAATATTTGTATTGCGAAGATCAGCTCGTAAGTGGGGCTGACTTGTACGTCGAAGAAAATGAAGTAAGCCGGGGAAGGTAGAGGTCTGATAGTGACATTCTGCGCGGTGATGATTTTTCCCTTGGCAAACGGTAAGATCAAACGAAAGGAGAACCCGCTACCGTACGTGAAAACTGCGCAAAGTGTGACCAGTCGTATGCCGATCTTCGCGGACTCGATCATCGTGTCCCGCGCTTTCGCACTGGTAACGAACCTATAATCCTCCTCGATGTGCTTCAAGCAGCGTCTGATATCCTTCTCGTGGAACACCAGGTTACCATATTTACAAATATTCATGATGCCCAAGAGAAGCAGAGGGACCGTGCGGACTCTGACGTGTGTCCTCTTCTCAATCAACCAATACAGGGCACCGGGAATCAGGACGCTGTAGATAAGAAGATTGCACATCGTTATCAAGAAGTACTTCCAAACTTTTTCCCCGGTGGTTCTTCTCCTGTTGTAAGGCGGCCAGATTCCGAGTAAGCTTAGAACGTTACGCGTCACTTGTGTTACGTAAATCATATCATCCTTGTAATACTTGTTTCCGAACATTTTCTCGTCAATCTCTCGTGAAATCTTCGCGAAAGCTGAATGACGACTGATCGCTGCAAATAAAAGCTGTCAATAAAGTAAATTCGTCCCAGGGCTTGCGCTTGCGCGCATTAAAGATTAAGGATGGTGGTGCATGGAAGAAGAGGGATCGAAAGCAGGAAAGTTTCAAAGTCAACTTGCTCACCGAGGGTTCGGATTGCTTTCCTAGAATCGAGCTTCTATTTGTTAACATGTGCATTTTTTCCAAGCATCCGAGAATAGTCGATTGGATTGAACTTTCTTTCCTGTATTAAAACTTATAATTACACACGTTGGACATTGACCGTCAACAAGTTTTATTTACATAGGACGGTAATAATTCAATCTGCTTTGAGATCGGTACAACAAGTCTGACAACAAGTATGATGTTTCCGATATGGTGACAACGTCAGTGAATTAAATAAAGTTACAGGATAATGTTTAAATGCCGTGCTAATGTTCCGGAGATTTTAATGCTGGATAAGGTGGCTTTTGAAGTAATGATTTCGAAACAAAATGGACTATTGTATAACTTATTCCTGTCATATAAATTTAAAATTCTGCTTGATTTTTTAGGTGAAGAAAAATTATATAAATTTTATAAAAATATATTTAAATCAATATTAAATTATATTTTATTTATAACATTTTTGTTCTTTTTCATGTCACGCACGATGTGACATTAACGATACAATGTATAGCTTAGGCTGTAATTTCGTAGAACGATCGTTGACTGAGGATTGATGTGTAATAGTTTGAGTTATATCATGTGCTACTTCGAACTGTTCACATTTTATAATCGTATACAGAAGTTAATGAATCTATAAACCAGCATTATGGTTTCGTATATTATATATGCAATTGATGAATATAAAGTTATATTTATGCATGTGGTTATCCCTTAATTTCTGCTCGGTGCTGTTATTTATCTTGTAATAAAGTGAAGATATGGTTTATTTAAATTTACATCCAGGATAAAATAGTAATTATACAATTTAATTACTAATCAAACGTTGTCAAACGTAACTACTTACTAATCAAACGTAATCAAACGTAATTTAATTACTAATCAAAATAACGGTTTATTTAAATTTACATCCAGGATAAAATAGTAATTATACAATTTAATTACTAATCAAACCTGCTTTCTTTAAAAATTTAACGTATTTTTGTCGTATTGAGGAACAAAAAAGGATCGAGAAGGCCTGATTCTGGCCCTCCTCAAATTTTGATGCGTCTTGTCAAAATGTATCTTTCAAAATAGTTTATGCTTAGAGCAATTAAATAATTAAATTTATTATTGCTTCCTATGAAAACATAAAATGTATAGCTCCGCCATATAGAGGAACAAACATTTCTTAAGGGCTATTTTCTATACATATATACATTGTACTAAGCTTTTGTATTTGACACATCATAAACGATATTACCATAGGATGTGTTCGATGAGCTTCGACGAAAAGAAAAGATACAAGTTAGAAATATTTAGCTTGTTAATTTTAAAAGTAAATTAAAGTACGTCACAGCTGTCTTTATAATCTGAAAAATAAGAACATAATATTCTGTAGTTATTTCTATACTTATTACTTCGTTGTAGTTTTATTGAAGTCTAGCGCGATAGACTGAATGAGAAATGTTGCATTTTATTCCGTTATGATTATAATAATAATTATTAAATATCACATTTTAATTGTAGTTTGTAATTGTTGCTGATATTCTTATAAAACTGAGCGAAAACTTTCGAACGTATGTGCTTACATCGCCGTATGTCTTCAGTGATAAATCCACGATTTTCCCAGCGGTGACCTTGGTAGGTAAGTTTGATATGATCACCACTAGCACAATCGCACGCGCTTTTTTATCCAGAAGACGATACCACTCGAGCACGCAAGACGTTTTAGCTACTTTCTCTGCCTGTTATTAACATTTTCAAATACGTGTAATAAAATTTTTGTAAATTTATGCATCGTTTAAAATACAATACACAAATATTTCCAATTTTTTTCAAAAATTGTTTTGTGTATAAGGTATAACAAATATTATCTACTATAATATATATATATATATATATATATATATATACATATATATTATATATTATAAGAATACTATTAATATTAATATTAATATTAACAATATTAATATATACTTCACGTATAATTATTGATATATCACATCATTGTATAATTTTTGCGAGAAAAAATGTGACACACCTGAACGGAAAGTTGCTCACCAGTGTAACAAAACATGAACATGTCCACCAGCATACACATAAGTACAGAAAAGTAGGAGCACATAGCTAACGAATTGCTATTCTCCCATTCCTACAAATACCATATTATTGCAAAGAAAATATTTTTTCCTTTTGTTTTACATTGAAACTCTTGACAAAATTACGAACCTTTAATATAAGATATCCTACAATGCAGACAATCGACGTACATCCCACCAATTCTAATACACACACTTGTTGTAGAGTATTTTCTACCAATTGTAAAAAACTGCCGACATCGAATCAATACATTTAGGAAATGAGAATGCAAAATTATCTGCACTCTACAGATATATGATTTTAATCGATTAACGAGTAATCATTTACTACTTAACGAGTCATACTTGATGCACGTGGTCTTAATAAAGAAATAAAATTCTCAACTTATTACCTTCTTATTCTTATTTGATGTTCAACCATTCGTGCCAGCTTCCTGTCCACTTCCCGATTCTCTTGCCCTTGCTCCTCGACAAGATTTCTCATTAAATTCATCAAGATCGTCAGCTGGCCACAGGCGTGCATCACACAGACGGACGCGAGACCGCATAAACCCGTTGTTATCGACCAAGTGATCATTCCGGATAATATTTGTATTGCAAAAATCAGCTCGTAAGTGGGGCTGACTTGTACGTCGAAGAAAACAAAGTAACCCGCGCAAGGCAGAGGTCTGATCGTGACGTTCTGCGCGGTGACAATTTTGCCCTTGGCAAATGGCAAAATTAAACGAAAAGAGACCACGCTGCCGTACATGAAAATCGCGCAAAGTGCGACCAGACGTATGCCGATCTTCGCGAAATCGATCATCGTGTCCCGCGCCTTCGCACTGGTAACGAAAATGTAATCCTCCTCGATGTGCTTCAAGCAGCGTCTGATGTCCTTTTCGTGGAACATCAGATTAACATATTTACCACAAGTCACGATGCCGAAGAGAAGCAGAGGCATCGTTCGGACTCTGACGTGCGCCCGTTTCTCAATCAACCAGAACAGAGCACCGGGAATCAGGACGCAGTAGAGAAGAATGTTGCAAATCGTGATCAGGAAGTACTTCCAAACTTTTTCGCCGATGGTTCTTTTTCTGTTGTAAGGCGGCCAGACCCCGAGTAAGCTTAGAACGCTTCGCGTCAGTTTTGTAATGTAAATCATGTCATCCTTGTAATACTTGTTTCCCAACATTCTCTCTGCGAGCTCGTATGGAATCTTCGCAAAAGTTGGATGACGACTGACTGCTGCAAATAAAAACTGTCAATAAAGTAAATTCGTCGTAGGGCTTGCGCTTGCGCGGATTAAAGATTAAGAATGGTGGTGCATGGACGGAGAGGGATTGAAAGCAGGAAAGTTTCGAAGTCAACTTGCTCACCGAGGGTTCGGATTGCTTTCCCAGAATCCAGCTTTCATTCGTTAACAGGTGTATTTTTTCCAAACAACCAAGAATAGCCGATTGGATTCAACTTTCCTTCCTGTATTAAAACTTACAATTGCACCCATTGGACGTTGACCGTCAGCAAGTTTTATTTACACAGGACGGTTAAAATTCGATCCGCTTTGAGATCAATACAATAAGTCTGACAACAAGTGTGATGTTTCCGATGTAATGTTTCTGACAACATCAGTGGATTAATTAAAGTTACAGGATAATATATGATCGCATGCTGTGCTAATTTCGGAGATTCTAATGCTGGGTAATATGGCTTTCGAAGATTGATTTTATTTATCTTGAAACGAAGTGAAGATACGGTTTATATAAATTTACATAAAAATAAAATAGTAATTAATTTACAATTTAATGAATTAATTATTTTTCAATTTAATTGTCGGACATGTTTTCTTTGAAAATTTAACGTACATCTGCCGTACTGAGAAACAAAAAGGATAAGTATCATTAAAGTTTGATCTTGGCCCAAAATTTTGATGCGTATCGTTAAAATGTATCTTTCTAAACAGAAATAAAAATATAAGAAAGAAATGAAAATCATGCGCGGTTAATAACACACAGTTTAATTTAAAAAACAAATAGTTTTACTCTTACATATATTTCAAACATACATTTCGGCTATTATTTTTGGCCATCCTCAGTGAATATAAAATAGTTAGAAGTTATTATCTTGGTAGTGGAAATGTGTGCATCCACGATCAAACGTAACTTCGAACAAGTAACTTCGAACTGTTTCACATTCACTGAAGATGGCTAAGAAATATAGTCGAATCGTTTGAAATATATGTAAGGGTAAAACTATTTGTTTTTTAAATTTAAACAACGAATTATTAATCACACATGATTCCTATTGTCTTCTGATATTGTTATTTTTAATATCGGGAATCATAAGAATTTATTATTCTCAAAATATAATTTACACTTAAATTAATTAGATAATTTAATTTATTATTGCTTCCTATAAAAACATAAAATGTATAGTTCCGCCATATGGAGAAACAAAAATTTTTTAAGCGCTATTCTCTATATATACATTGTACTAAGCTTTTGTATTTGATACTTCATAAGCGATTATACTATACGATGCGTTGATAGTCACAGTTTCGATGAGAAGAAGAGATGCAAATCAGAAACTATTTAATCTGCTACCTTTAAAAGCATATTAAAGTACGTCAATGATGTCTTTACAATCTGAAAAATAAGAATATAATATTCTGTACTTCTTTCCATACTTATTACTTCGTCGTGGTTTTTTTCAACTAGTGCGATAGGCTGATTGAGAAATGATGAGAATTTGAATCTGTTATGATGATAATAATAATTATTAAATAACGTATTTTAATTGTAGTGTGTAATTGTTGCTGATTTCTGTAAAATTGACCGAATATTTTCGAACGTGTGTGCTTACATCGCCGTATGTCTTCAGTGATAAATCTATGATTTTCCCAGCGGTGATCTTGGTGGGTAAATTCGACACGATTATCACCAGCACAATCGCTCGCGCCTTTTTATCTAAAAGACGATACCATTCGAGCACGCAAGACGTTCTAGCTACTTTCTCTGCCTGTCATTAATATTCATATCAAGTAAATAATACAAATTTTTGCAAATTAAGCATTGTTTAAAATACATTACACAAACATTTCTAATATTTTTCTCAAATATTGTCTTGTAAATAAGATAAAAATACTGTTTATTATATATAGATATATATAATATATAAATAAGAAAACTATTAATATAATATTAATGTATACCTATATTACACGTATAATTATTGATATATTAGATCATCATACATATAATTTTCGCGAGGAAAAGGTAACAAACATACCTGAGTGGTAAGTTGCTCACCAGTGTAACAAAATATAAACAAGTTTACCATCATGGATGTAAGAATTCCAAAGTAGGAGATCATAGCTGCTGGATTGCTATTCTCCCATTCCTACAAATACTACTTTATTGCAAACAAAGTATTTTTTCCTTTTGCTTTAATACACGTGACAAAATTACGAACCTTTATTACAAAATATCCTGTAATGCAGACAATCGCTGTGCACCCCAATATTTCTATTACACAAGCTTGTAGAGTATTTTCTACCAATTGTAAAAAACTGTTGACGACACCGAATCAATACATTTAAGAAATTAGAAAACAGAATTATCTCCACTCTGTATGTATATGATTTTAATTGATTAGCGAGTAATTTAATCAATTACTACTAACGTCGAGTTACACTGATGGACGTCATCTTAATAAAGAAATAAAACTTACAAACTCTTACCTTCTTATTCTTATTTGGTGTTCAACCATTCGTGCCAGCTTTCTGTCCACTTCTCGGTTCTCTTGCCATTGCTCCTCGACAAGATTTCTCATTAAATTCATCAGGATCGTCAGCTGACCGCAGGCGTGCATCACGAAGACGGCCGCGAGACCGCACAAACCCGTTGTTATCGACCAAGTGACCACCCCAGATAATATTTGAATTGCGTAAGTCAGCTCGTAAGTGGGGCTGACTTGTACGTCGAAGAAAATGAAATTAGCCGGGGAAGGCAGAGGTCTGATCGTGACATTCTGCGCGGTGATAATTTTTCCCTTGGACAACGGTAAGATTAAGCGAAAGCAGACTCCGCCGCCGTACGTGAAAAGCGCGCAAACTGTGACCAGACGTATGCCGATCTTCGCGGACTCGATCATCGTGTCCCGCGCTTTCGCATTGGTAACGAACCTATAATCCTCCTCGATGTGCTTCAAGCAGCGTCTTATATCCTTCTCGTGGAACATCAGATTGCCATATTTAACACAAGTCACGAAGCCGAAGACAAGCAGAGTCATAGTTCGGGCTCTGACGCTTGCTCTCTTCTCAATCAACCAATACAGGGCACCGGGAATCAGGACGCAGCAGAGAAGAAGGTTGCAGATCGTTATCAAGAAGTATTTCCAAACTTTTTCTCCGGTAGTTCTTCTCCTGTTGTAAGGCGGCCAGATTCCGAGTACGCTCAGAACGTTTCGCGTCACTTGTGTTATGTAAATCATGTCACCCTTGTAATACTTGTTTCCCAACATTCTCTCGTCGGTCTTACGTCAAATCTTTGTGCAAGCTGGTCGACAACTGATCGCTGCAAATAAAAGCTGTCGATAAAGTAAATTCGTGGCAAGGTTGCGCTTGCGCGCATTAAAGATTAAGGATGGTGCGTGAAGGAGAAAGATGGAAAGCAGGAAAGTTTCGAAGTTAACTTGCTCACCGAGGGTTGGGATTGCTTTCTCAGAATCGAACTTCCATTTGTTAACATGTGTATTTTTTTCAAACAACAAAGAGCAGTCGACTGAATTCAACTTTCCTTCCTGTATTAAAACTTACAATTGCACCTATTGGACATTGACCGCTAGCAAGTTTTATTTACGTAGTACGGTAATAATTCGATCTGCATCGAGATCAATACAACAAGTCTGACAACAAGTGTGATATTCCCGACGTGATGATTCTGACAACGTCAGTGGATTTAATAAAGTTAGAGGATAATGTGTGATCGCATGCCGTGCTAATGTTCTGGAGGTTTTAATGGTACGGGTAACATGGCTTTTGAAATAATAGTTTCGAGGCAAAATGGACTATTATATAACTTATTCCTATCATATAAATTTGAAATGCTACATGATTCTTAAAGCGAAGAAAAATGTTATCATTTGTATAAGGATATATTTAAATCAATATCAAATTATATCTATTAAAATTTTGTTTTGCTTTCTCATATCATGCACGGTGTGACATTACCGATACGATGTATAGCTTAGGCTGTAGTTTTGTAGAACAAACGTTGGCTGAGGATGTGTAATAGTTTGAACTATATATCATACGCTATTTCAATCTCGCGTGTTATAATCGTATACAGAAATTAACGAATATATAAAGCAGCATTGGTTTCGTATATATGCAATTGATGAATATGAAATTATATTTCTGCATGTGGTTATTTTTTAATTTTTAGTCGGTGCTTTTATTCATCTTGTAATGAAGTGAAGATACGGTTAATATAAATTTTCACAAAGATAAAATAGTAAGTATAAAATTTAATTAATTATCGAACCTGCTTTTATTGGAAATTTAATGTATTTCTGACGTACTAAGAAACAGAAAGGATGAGTATCGGTAAGGCTTGACTTTGGTCCTCTCAAATTTTGATGCGCCTTGTCAAAATGTATTTCTCAAATAATTTACGCTTAGAGTAATTGAATAATTTAAGGGAGCATATACACCTAGTCACGTCAAAACAAAGTCTAACTTTTCGAATTTTTTACAAACAAAAAGAAACAGAAAACAAAAAGATATAGAGAAGTCGAATTTGTTTCATTGAAGATCATATTTTTTTCTTTTTAAATATATATTTGATTCAAAAATGATTCAAAAAATAGCTTCGCTATTTAAGTTTTTCTTAGTCGTGTTTTGAATACGGCTTTTGCGGTGACCATTGCTATACTCTTACAGGACTCATTTGAAAGCAAAATGCAACAAGTTATGTAAAGTTAGAACACATATCTACTTCTCTTTGAAGCCGTTTTTCAAAATATTGCATTTGAACAATATGGTAATTGGTCAAATTCAACTTAGCGATTTATCACTTGAAATGTTGTTTGTTTTTTGGCTGTGAATAAAGCAAAGCATCGAAAAAAATCCTACGTAAGGAAGTAGTTTTTAATGTCTAGAAAAAGCGTGTATAATTGCAAATTAATCGTTCAAACCATTTTCGATATAGTGGTCACGCGTTTTGAAAACTACGTTTCGAGAAAAACGCAATTTAAAGTTTTACATAAAGATGGTACTTTAAAAATATTAAAAATTTTACTTATATTGAATCATCTACTCCAGTGTCATAAAGCAAACTCTCTGCTGAAGTGGATGCTTCCAATAAATTGCTTTATGCTTATTGCTTTATTGCTATGACTCAGTCATAGACATGACACAACAGATGTTTGACGCGCTCAGCGTTCGAACTTACTCGACTATAATTTCAAGTTTCATCTTTCGTCGGATCGACTAAAACTTTACAAAAATATTCTTAAGATATCATAATTCAAAAATATGTATTTAAAATAATCGACTTTTTTGACCTCTCTAGGTGTATATGCCTCATTAATTTATTATTGCTTCCTATGAAAACATAAAATGTATAATTTTGTCAGAAGGAACAAAAATTTTTTAAGCGCTTCTCTATATATACATTCTACTAAGCTTTTGTATTTGACAATCATAAAAGATATTACCATACAACGCGTTTATAGTCACAGTTTCGACGAGAAGAAATGATACAAATCAGAAATATTTAGTCTGCTATCTTTAAAAGCATATTAAAATACGTCAAAGCTGTCTTTACAATCTGAAAAATAAGAGCATAATATTCTGTAGTTATTTCTATACTTATTACTTCGTCATGGATTTTTCAACTAGGGCGATAGGATGATTGAGAAATGTTGCATTTGATTCTGTTATGATGATAATAGCAATTATTAAATAACGTATTTTAATTGTAGCGTTTTAATTGTTGCTGATTCCTGTAAAATTGCGCGAATATTTTCGAACGTGTGTGCTCACATCGCCGTATGTCTTCAGTGATAAATCCAAGAGTTTCCCACAAGTGATCTTGGTGGGTAAGTTCGACATGATTATCACTAGCACAATCGCCCGCGCCTTTTTATCCAGAAGACGATACCACTCAAGCATGCAAGATGTTTTAGCTACTTTCTCTGCCTGTTATTAATTACATCAAGTACATGTAACAAAATTTTTTGCAAATTTAAGCATCGTTTAAAATACATTACACAAATATTTTCAATTTTTTCTCAAATATTGTTTTGTATAAAGTAACAAATATTATCTATTATATATACATATATATATTATATAAGTAAGAATACTAATAATATTAATATTAATAATACTAACATATACTACACGTATAATTATTGCTATATTGATATATCACATCATCATATAATTTTCGTGAGAAAAAAATAACAAACATACCTGAACGGTAAGTTGCTCACCAGTGTAACAAAACATGAACATGTTTATCATCATGGATATAACTACTGAAATATAGGAGAACATAGCTATCGGATTGCTATTCTCCCATTCCTATACAAGTATCACATTATTGCAAAGGAAGTATTTTTCTTCTTTTGCTTTAATACATTAAAACTCTTGACAAAATTACGAACCTTTATTATTAAATATCCTGTAAAGCAGACAGCCGCTGTGCATCCCAATATTTCTATTACACAAGCTTGAAGAGTATTTTCTACCAATTTTAAAAAACTGCCAACGATACCGAATCAGTACATTTAGGAAATGAGAAAACAGAATTATATGCACTCTGTATGTATATGATTTTAATGGATTAACGAGTAATTTAATCAATTACTACTAATGTCGAGTCACACTTGATGCACATGGCCTTAATAAAGAAATAAAACTCTTACCTTCTTATTCTTATTTGATGTTCAACCATTCGTGCCAGCTTCCTGTCCACTTCCCGATTTCCTTGCCATTGCTCCTCGACAAGATTTCTCATTAAGTTCATCAGAATCGTCAGCTGACCGCAGGCGTGCATCACGAAGACGGCCGCGAGACCGCACAAACCCGTTGTTATCGACCAAGTGACCACCCCAGATAATATTTGAATTGCGTAAGTCAGCTCGTAAGTGGGGCTGACTTG